AATTGTATTCTGATAGCCTTTCCTTTGCATCTCATATTATTGTGTTCACAGAAACCTGGTTAAAGCCGGAGATCTTTAGCTCCGAAGTTTTTCCAGGTAAGTACACAATATATAGGTATGACCGTCCCTCTAGGCGGGGAGGTGAAGTCTTAATTGGAGTTGATTCAAACTTCCCGTCTGAGGAGTTATATTTTGATGAATTCAATACCATTGAATTTATTTGTGTAAAGTTATCGCTTCCTGGTAACTTTATATACATAACTTGCTCATATATTCCGCCGTTGTCTGAACTTCCTGATTATTTAAATCACCTATCCGTTATTAAGTCCGTTGCAAATAAGCTTTCCGATAGGGATCAGTTGATAGTTCTAGGTGATTTTAATATACCCGGAGTTACTTGGTCCACTGAGGATGGATCGAATGTCTAACTACCTATAGCACAACATGATTTTATTGATGGCCTGCTTGACATATCTCTATCTCAAGTAAACCATGTTCGAAATTCATTAGGTCGCCTACTTGATTTGTGTTTTGTATCGAATCCTGAAGGTGTGTTTCTGTCCAGAGTAGCACCACTCACGCAACCTGAAGATCCATATCACCCAACAATCGAACTTTCATTTGATACGGGTAGAGTTATAGAAGAAAAATCAGAAAAATCCAAACGAATACATTGTTTTCGCAAGGCAGACTTTCTGAGGCTTAATAATTTTATTTCTGGCTTTAATTGGTCTGATCTTTACTTATGCAATAATATGTCCGATGCAGTTAATGTTTTTTACACTGCAATAAACTCATTTTTTAATTCCTGTGTTCCGTGGTACTATCCGTCAACTTCCAATAAATCACCTTGGTTTAGCAAAGAGTTGACACACTTAAGAAATGTAAAGTCCAGACTTTTTAGGAAATATAAAAATACCGGTTCTCAATCTGTTTTTACTAGATATCTAAGTGCTCGGTCAAGATTTACCGTGCTTAATGCTCAGTGTTATAATAGTTACTTAAACCGTTGTAAGGTCCAGTTCTCTCAGGACCCGAAACAGTTTTATAATTTTGTTAACACCAAGCGTAAATCTAATTCTTTTCCTTCCTCGCTGTCGTTCGAAAACATGACGGGAACCACAGATCAGGCAATAGCCGATATATTTGCCCAATTTTTTCAAACGACTTACTCTACTTTAGATTATTCATCTCTGCCTTATTCTTACACCATGCCCAAGTCAAACCTCATATTCTGTCCCACTTTAACAGAAAGCTCTCTTCTTTTGGATCTTCTTCGTATTAAGCCTGTTTATTCGCCAGGGCCCGATGGTATTCCTGGGTGCGTGCTTAGGTATTGCGCTAAGGCCCTGTGCAAACCTCTTCACAAGTTGTTTACCTTATCTCTAGAAACGTCCCAATTTCCAAATATTTGGAAGGAATCATTTGTTATTCCTCTTTTCAAAAAAGGTAACAAGTTAGAAGCCATTAACTACAGAGGTATTTCTAAGTTGTCAGCTATTCCTAAGCTTTTTGAAAAAATTATTACTCCTCATTTGCAGCACTTTTGGAGATCAATTATTTCTCCGTGTCAACACGGATTTATTAAACGATAGATCCACAATTACAAACCTTCTAGAGCTCACTACATTTGTGATAAAAGGCTTCAATGGTAGTTTTCAAACAGATGTCATTTACACTGACTTTAGTAAAGCATTTGACTCTGTAAATGACTTACTTCTTATTCATAAACTTGACCTTTTAGGTTTTCCAGTTGATCTGCTTAAATGGATTTCAAGTTATCTAAATGGCAGGTCACAAAGGGTCCTTTTTAAAAATTCAATTTCTGAAATTCTCCGTGTTACCTCCGGTGTCCCACAAGGAGCCATCTGGGTCCGTTACTTTTTACATTATTTATTAACGATCTTCCCTCCATTATAAGTCATTCTCGCGTACTTATGTACGCAGATGATGTTAAGTTGTGCCTGCAGTATAAGGACATTTCCTGCCATTTAGACTTGCAATCCGATCTAGATAATTTTCAAAACTGGTGTCGAGATAATTTACTAAATTTAAACGGCTCCAAGTGCAAGCTGATGACTTTTTATCGGGCCAATCCGATATACGCGACTTACACGTTAAGTGGCAGCTCTTTGGATAGAATAACTGTTGTAAACGATCTTGGCGTTCTCTTGGACCCTAAACAAAAATTTTCTAATCACATTTCGTCCATGGTTAATAAAGCCAGAGGAGTGCTTGGATTTATTAAAAGGTGGTCAAAAGAATTCGATGATCCTTATTTGACTAAAACCTTATTTATTTCGCTAGTCCGTCCGATTCTGTAGTATGGGTCTCCCGTCTGGAGTCCACAATACGGAATACATATTGGTCGGATTGAATCTGTACAAAAAAACTTTCTTCTTTTTGCTTTACGGCGCTCAAACTGGGATGCAAATCTTATCTTACCTTCTTATTCTAGTAGACTTCTTTTGATTAATTTACCATCCCTAGCCAACCGTAGAACGATGCTTGGTACTATCTTTATTTATAACCTTATACATGGTGATATTGACTGCCCCGACTTGGTAAGTCGGCTAAACTTTTCTGTGCCAAGTAGATTAACTAGAAATTATTTTCCCCTAATTTTAAATCATTGTAGATCTAACTATGCCTTGCATGAGCCTTTCAGAGTATTATGTTCTGACTATAATAGACTTTTTCCTGTAATATCAAATCTTGACTCTCTGCCGCTTAGGGACAGTTATCTTGAAAGATGAAATGTCTCTAGCATAAAAAAACTTAAACTTTTCCACCTTTACACTATTACAATCGGCTTTAGTTTTGGCTTGTATATAAGACAATACATCAAAAGATGTTTGCTCAGGGAAAAGCCGAGAAACGAAAATTTGTTTCTTTAGTGTAACCACTGAAAGGGATTTTGGTGGAGCAGACATTGTTTCTGCAAAACCAACTTGAGCGAGTTGTCCGGACTCAGTAGTGGTGATGCTACATTGTGAGAGATAGGTGGATCCTCTAATTGTAAATCCACTACGGACAAATCGGAATTCTTAGAAGTCCCTGGTTGCATGCATTCTGTAACGGATTGTTCGGATACCGAATCTGTTTTTAGCTGCTGATCTTAGCAACATTTGAGGGTTTGCTGAAATCAGCTGCTGATCCGCCGGAATGCTCTGTTGTTCTTTTGTTTTCGGTTGCGGCGTGTTCCCCTTCTGCTGCTTACCACCAGCGGCCTTTTTGCGCTTAGGGGACTCTTCTAATAGCTTACGACTATTAAATTGCGAATCCAGCGCAGAGAGGAGATCATCAGCTCGGCGAAAACTATCTCTAGCAACTCCGAAACAGCTAATCAGCCCCATCAAACCACCTTTAGTGTGGCGCATGAACGATTTCATCTCGTTCTCAACCTCGACACAAGCATCACAACAAAACTGCAAATTGGGCCCCTTTAAAAGGTCATCACTTGTCCGGCCAGTAAAACCGGCGCATTTGGTGTGCACCATATTTTCACACAGCCAGCAAGTCATATTAGACTGGTCAGCCCTGATTACGAGGCAGCATTTTTTGCAGAAGCCGACTAAATTATTATTATTCATTTTATCTATTCGTACCACTGTACCAAGAAAACGAATTGAAATTTATAAGCGAGCAGTTATAAGTACCGCAAGAGCGCAGAAACTGCACGCTTAGAACTTTCAAAGCAAAGAGAGCGAGAGAGCGGGAACGTAAATTAGTTAAAGTGCATGCAAAAGCAACACTAAAAACAGCACTACGACTTGTTTATAAGCTAATAGCGAAGAAATTGATTGTGGACTGATATTTTTTTATGCTCAGCAGAAGATTAAAATTAATATGAGCAAAAAGTCGATACCGGGAACGTCTGCTCACATATAAAAACTGTCTTGCAAGACATTTGGCAACAAGGTCCATCCTTGTGTGGCGTTTTTAACAATAAATATAAAACAAAAAAAAAACACTATAGAAGCTTTAACGGCAGAACTCCATCTATGTAAAAACGAATGAAGTTTGGTACTCAAAATGGAAAAAAGCAATTCTGATCGTTTTTTTTATTTTTTTATTTTTTTATTTTATTTTTTTTTTTTTTTTTTCCAACAGACAAAACACTGAAAACTTTCACAAACTAATAGAAGCTTTAACGACGGAACTCCACAATTGCAAAAAAGCTTCTCTGATCGTAAAATTGAGAAGTTTCTGACGCTCTTCTTCTATCCCCCTAGATAGCTGATGAGTCTGAGGTGACGTGGAGACGAAACTATCTAGTCCTTTCATAGGGTTCACTCCCCAGTGAGTGCAAGTGTGATAAAGGTCAAGTTGAAAAAACGTTGTGTTGTAGAAGATATTAAAATATATCCAACTTCAATTTATATATACATATATATAATAATCTACACATCATAATTTCTAACGTTTATATTGCCACACAAAGATTTATATTTTTGATTGTAAACTAATATTAAGAATATATATATATATATATATATATATATATTATCCAAATTCATTTCACCAATATTTTATATTCTTTTATAATCCATTTAATTTTTAAATAGTGTTGTAGAAAAAAAAATTAAAAACTAAATTTACTTTAATTTAAAAGTCGTTTTTATTTGTGAGTTTCGGCAAGCGGAAACAACTTATTTAAAATTGTTGTTTGGGGGAGACAACATGTTATGTAATAATAACGCTTTTTAGTTTTATCAGTTTATGTACGTGTCGTGTTTATTCTGCCAGTCGAATCTGCACTGCTGCAGCCGAAAGCCTGGCTACATATTTTAATTCGGTTTTTACAAATGTAGTCGCTGAATAGGTAGCTCGACAGCTTAGCGAGATAAGGCAAATATAAAGAGGAGAGCGCAAGAGCGCAACAGGTTCAGCCATACACCTATGCGCACTAGACTAGGCGCTGGCGGGCTGCTCCGAACATACTCCCCCCGTTGGAGGAAGTAGGGCTCCAACTAAATGGGAATCGATGGGCAGAACGGCTAATTGGCGACGGCTTTCTTGACTAGACCCCTAGCTGTACGGACCATAGCTACCCTGACGACGCCGAGGCGGCCTTCTCGGAGATGCGTGATATCAGGCTGAGGAAACCTTGTGTAGCTGGAGCCTTTCAGGAAATGGGCCGGCGTTAGCAACTCAAGACCTTCAGCGTTTTCTGAAATTGGACAGAGTGGACGGGAGTTAAGGATGGCAGAAATCTTATAAGCGAGAGTTCTCAATTCATCGAGGCCCAAGATGGAAGCACCGACGACTCTATAAAAGTGAAATTTGGCCGATTTAACAGCAGCCTCCCATAAACCACCGAAATGTTGGGCACGCGGAGGTATGAATTTCCAATCAATCCCATCAGCTAAGTAGGAGGAAGCTATCGCAGCCGTGTGGGGTTCGCTCAGAAATAGATTCTTCAGCTCGGTTAGCTCGCTCTTGGCGCCAAAAAAACTCGTCGCATTGTCACTCCAAATAGTGCGCGGAGTGCCTCTCAGGCTGGTGAATCTTCTCAACGCTGCGATGAAACAATCCGTTGTGAGATCCTGGACGACTTCCAAATGCGTGGCCTTCGTAGAGAAGCAGACAAAGACGGCGATGTAGCACTTGTGAGGCGCCTTGTTGCGGGCCTCTGCCTTATGATAAAATGGTCCACAATAATCCACTCCCGTGGTATAAAATGCTGGGTCAGGCTGCCCATAACGTGCTGCCAAGTGACAGGCTTCATCCGAAAACATCTGACGCATTTGTTGATGACGGTAGCCACGAACTTTCGTCCTCCAATTGGCCAATACCTTTGCCTTAATGTGCCAAGTAATGCTTGCGATCCTGCGTGCAAGTATTTTCTATAAAAATATGCGATGATTGCCTTGGTAACTGGATGATACTTGGGTAACAATATCGGATGCTGAATATCGTAGTCCAGGCTTGCATTCTGAATTCTTCCACCAACGCGAAGTAAACCATCGGAGCCGATTATTGGTCTCAGCGAAATAAGCTTGCTCTTCTGTTGACACGGCCTGTCCTGGCTAAGACATCCATACTCCTTGGCTAAGTGAACCTGTTGGATGCTCCTCAGAAGAAGTACGGTCCCCAAATTGAGCTCCTTAACGGTAAAACGGTTCCTTGAAGGTGAAGATTTTGCTCTGCAATTCGAAATGAACCGATAAATGTACGAAAATACACTCTGCAACTTATGAAAAGAGTTAAGAAATTTGCAGTTGATCGAAATGTCAGTGCAAACAGTTCCAATTTACGCTGCGGAACGACGTTCTGGAAGATCCTTAACTGCATTTTGACGAGCTTTGCTGCAGGAATGGAGGCCCGTTAGCCCACAGGAAGTGGTCCAGCAATTCTCTCGGGGTGCAGCCTCGCGACACGACATCCGCCGGATTTAAGCTTGTTGGAACATGATGCCAAGTCATGCCTTTTGTCATCTCCTGAATTTTCGCGACTCTGTTGGATACAAATACGTTGAAATCCCTCGGAGGCTGCCGAATCCACGCCAGTACGATAGACGAGTCTGACCAGCAATGAAATAAAAGCGCTGCCGACAACTCCAATCTTGGAATTGTCAAAGCCTTTAAAGGGGCCACTCTCGACTTGGCGCAGAGCAAATGGACCTTTGCTTCTCCATTGGCCTCCGACCGCAAGTATAAACACGCTCCATTGGCCGCTATGCTAGCATCGCAGAATCCATGCAACTGGATGAAAGCCTGAGGTTGCATTACGAATCGTGAAAATTTCAAGTTTTGGACGATTGATAAGAAGAAGATCTTGGCCTTTGTGACATTCGGTGTTATTAAACCGAGCGGGTCATAGAATTTGACTATTGTTTGAAAGTGCAATACGGTTGGTGACTCGATATTATAGCCAAAAAGTTGAACAAAGCTGGTCTTAAGAAGTATCCCAGGCTAAGTCACCGCTGTTACAGTTATGTAAACACTCAACTCTTATCCGTGAGACTCTCCTTCCCGCCAATTACAATACCACTTGCGGATGAAAAGGTCGCGACAATAGCTGGCCTGACGACAATCTAACTCAATTCAAGAGTAAACACCCACGCAGAAGCCCTACATCTTGCAGATGTCTCCACAGAGGGCAACTTTAAAAAATCGGAAGCGAAGTAGAATGTTAAAGATTTTTTGTTGAATTGTTGGCCCTGCAAGGAGCAAGTCGTTCAGAGAGCTGCCAGAAGTAGTTCTAGCAGACCCGTCAAACACGACTCGAAGCTCTGTGCTCGTACTTTCCTGCTTATGTACACAATGGTGTGGCAAGAAGAATTGTGGTATTGTTGGATCCTTTGGTGCGAGAGACATGTGGCCTAAGTTGATGTACTCCTGGAGAAAAGCCGAATACTGAGCTTTGAGAACAGGGTTTCTATCTAGCTTAGCTTCCAAACTCCTAAAACGACGACGAGCTAGGCGATAGGAATCACCTAAAGTTTCGAATACCGAAGTGGATAAGAGACGAACAGAGTATTGACCATTCCCAAGTCTAGTGCAGTTTTCCTTGAACAGTTGTTCGCATTGCAAGTCCTCAGGCAACAGTGCTGGCTTTGATGGATTACAATCCTCAAATTCCCAAAACGCTTTACTATGGCAGCAAGTGCGTCATCCTCAGAATGATCCGTAGTATCCTTGACAATGGCGACTGAGACAGACTTATGATTTGTAGTAGTCGACATCCCACCAGATACGATCCAACCAAGTTTGGTGTTTTGGAGTGTTGGCAACATGCTATCCAAATGTATTTGCCCCATACCAATTATTTCGAAAAACAGACCAGCGCCAATTAACAAGTCGATTGGTTGAAATAAGGGTCAGCGAGCGAAATGTTTTGTGGAATCCTCCATCCTGATGTATTTATGTTCAAATTCGGCTGATAATCAATGATACTGTGAGTCACAACAGCTGTAAATGACGCACGATAGCCTGCATCCCGTGATTGCGCAAACATATCCACTGATTTATCAGAGTTCATAGAGGACTCACCGATTCCAGAAATGAGTGTATGCGAATGCCTATATTTCAAATTAAACTGGCTAGCTAGGCGCGTAGTTATGAAGTTTAATTGAGAAGCAGAATCTAAGATTGCTCGACAGGGCATAAATGAACCAACCCTATTTTTTACATAGACAATAGCAGTAGGCAGCAACACGTAATTTATTGGCACAGTATTTGAAGTATTTGGTGAAGGGTGGGATACCTGACGATCAAGTTGTGAGCATGACACTAGTGCTGATGAAGTAGATGATGATGACTGAGAGTTCGAGAGTGGGTCTGATAATGGAGGTGGTGCGGATGAGTCAGGGGTCATATGCAATAGTGAGTGGTGCTTCATGCGACAATATCTGCAATGAGTTGATTTACATTGCTGCAAACTATGCCCCTTGCGCAAACAGTTTAGAGAAAGGTGCATTTTCTTGGCTTCTCTAAATCGAAGATGCGGGCTCAAATTTAAAAATCGAGAGCACTTTGGCAAATAATGATCTCTCGCATCGCAAAATAGGCATTTTGGATGATTTAAGTTAGTAGAAGACGCAATGAGTACACTTGGGTTATATTTATGCACATTTTTTCCCACCTGATGGCCTGGTGTTTGCGTTACCAAGGCTTGATCCAAATTTTCCATCATCCTGCACCTCCTCTCCAAAAACGACTCCATAGCAGTCCAGGAAGATATCTCAGCGATTGGCAAATCCTCTTCTCATTTTTCCGGAGTCCGTTGATCCAGCTTGTGAACGACGATTTGAATCAGTAATCCATCCAAAATTTGCTGTGTTATGGCATTTCCGATCAATCAGTTATATGATTGAATTAGAAGCGAACATTTGAGCATTGAAAGACGAATAATTAAATAAAGAATTCAATTTGAAATATATTGTTAAAGAAACCACAACTTGGTATTGTTAATTATTGGAATAGCTCCCAAACCAAATTGGAATACCTTTCCTTTAGTTAACTCGTGCGACAAAAGTATAGTATTGTAGTATAGTAGTATAAATAATGAAGCTTTTCTAAAAATTGTCGAGATAGTACAGAAGCACGAGTATCATGAGGAAAGGGAGAAAGTTCGTAAAGGCTCCAGAGTTGCTCAAGTCTTCAACAAAACACTCCCAATTTGTAAGAGCTATGTTCGGCATCTTCACCATTCCAATATTAATGTTGGTCCACGAGCATTTGTGAGTCTCCTACGACAGCGTATTTGGATCGTAAACGCTCAGATAGTTCGATTATGTGAGATAGTTCGATTATGCATACGCTGCTTTATGCTATGGGAAATTTACCCGCAGATCGTCTCCGTGCTTTCGGCCTATTTGATATATGTGACGTTGATTTTTGTGGCCCTATCTATAAGACTTTGAAAATTCGTGGTAGGCCTCCGTATAAGTCCTACATTGCGCTCTTCGTTTGTTTTGCGTCCATCTAGATGGTGTTTCAGATTTCCTTTTAATTGGCTTTTCAAAGGTTCGTTGGGCGCCGAGGATGTCCCCAAGTCGTCCATTGCGACAACGGGACGAAACACATACCCAAGCGACGGAGAGGAGCTGACTCCCGGTGACCTGCTGACAGGCGGACCGCTGACCCCGGAGGGTCTCAGATCCTTGCGGCGATGGCGGCTTGTCTCGTCAATCAGGGAAACGTTCTGGCGGCGATGGTCCCGGGAATATGTCCTGGGCCTGCGAATTCGGGGCAAGTGGCACCAGCAGCAGCTAAACATCCTCGAGGACAACCTGCAGCCCCAACAATTGCTCCTCGGGAGAATAGTCGCCTGGCACGCAGGGGAGAACGGCATGGCCAGGGTCGGCGACGTCAGAACTAGCGGAGGAGGCATTCGGCGGGCCATTCACAAGTTGGTGCCGCTTCCAATGAGTTGAAGCCGCCCGATAGGTGTTCAAAGGGGCGGTGTTGGCTGAAGTCAGTTAAGCTGACTTTTTTTTTTTTGATTTAAGTTAGTTTAAGGCGAAGGCGGGAGCACAATAAAGTTCTTTCCCGATACACCAAGTCCTCGGTTTTTGTATATTTAGATAACTATTCTAAATTTGCATGGCGACCCCGGGTGAACTATAAATTATTAATTAAAGGCAGTGACACATATACAAAAAAAAATCTAAATTTTCGCATTTAATTAGACTCTGATCTATCTTATGCTGAAATATGACTAAGAAAATTGGAACGGCACGGACAGTAACTATATGAAGATAAGTAAAAGAAAAACTGATAAAAAAATATTTGAAATATTTGCAGTCAGACTACAAAGACACACTCCACGGGTCGGGACACAAATTATTTAAAATTTTGTCATTAGCTTATCACGGAGAAGTGCAGTTTTGTGCGTCGAGTACAATTTTGTTCCAAGTATACAAATATATACTTTCCAAGCGCTTTTAAGTGGAAACAGAGTTGTTACATGAGTTATTACATGGGCAGAAAGGGACAAATGCATTTGTTGTATCACGAACGGGAAAACCAACTATTTGGTCACGGCGTAATTTGAATGGAGGATGGATACCACTTTGAGCATTAGTAGACCAAGGATTTAGATTACTGTTACTAGATTAAACAGTGAAAACAAATTGCTCAGCGGACCAAACACGAGCTTCTTATAAATTTTATAATATAGATTAAGATAATTTTTACAACGAACATGATATGGTTCCTATTTAAAGGGTTTAGATGTACATCTTGAAAAGTTGAGAGGATGAAAATTGCGGGTTGGCCTAAGATACTAATATCACCTCTGACAAGATGATGTATGAGGGTAGTACCCAGCATAGCTTTACGATTAACTATTCAAATTGAGCATTACTAATATAGTACTAAGAAGGCAACCTAGCATTTTGATCCTAGTTCGAACCTTTTACCGACTCACACCTAGGGAAATTCATGGAAGCGTTTTTACCAGAGGTACCCCGAAGTAAAATGGGAGTAACGATTTGAGAAATATTTTTAAGCTCACAATTCAACTGCATTTAATTAAATAAAAAGCAATGTTAGCCCAAGAAATTAATTCAAATTCATAGGAAAGGTTTCCTTAGAGCGGAGGATTTGTACACGTATTGCAACGAAATAAAGAAATAATTGGAACGTACGTTAATATTCTCAGTGACATATACCATTACGTTTTAGCCAAAGAGCTAGTCGGCGGATGGCTTGTAGTTCGCCGAGCTGAAGGCAACCCAACGGTTCGCTGGTTGCAGATAGCGAAAGCTTTGTTTTTGATAGGATAAATGCGCATAAGTGTGGAAATAAGATGACACTGCAAGCGCCATGAAACACTGAAACACTGCA